TACAGGCTGGGAGATGAAGGACCGAGCAGCCCTTCAGAGAAGGACTTGAGGATACCAGTGGATGGAAAGCTGGACATGCCCCAGCCATGTGCAACTGCAGACCAGAAAGCCAACTGTATCCTGGGCTACATGCAAAGCAGCATGGCCAGCAGTTCGAGAGAGGGGATTCTGCCCCTCTGCTCCGCTCTGGTGAGACCCCCCTGCAGTACTGCCTTCAGCTCCGGGATCCTCAGCACAAGAAGGACATGGACCTGTTGGAGCAAGTCCAGAGGAGGCCACGAAGATGATCCAAGAGCTGGAGCACCTCTGCTGTGAGGACAGGCTGAGAGAGTTGGGGTTGTTCAGCCCAGAGAAGAAAAGGCTCCGAGGAGACTTTAGAGCAGCCTTCCCGTACCCAAAGAGAGTTTATAAGAAAGATGGGGACAAACATTTTAGCAGGGCCTGTTATGATAGGATAAAGGGTAATGGTTTTAAACTAACAAGAGGGTAGATTTAGACTAGGTACAAGGAAGAAATTTTTTACCGTGAGGGTGGTGAAACCCTGGCACAGGTTGCCCGTAGAGGTGGTAGATGCCCCATCCTTGGAAACATTCCAGGTCAGGTTGGACAGGGCTCTGAGCAACCTGATCTAGCTGAAGATGTCCCTGCTCAGTGCAGGGGGGTTGGACTAGACGGCCTTTAAAGGTCCCTTCCAACCCAAACTGTTCTATGATTCATGACCTTCCCCACTTAGAAAAACCATATGTACATTACAGTGACTATGGAACAAGCTGAGAGAGGCTTTATTGCTCACAAACAAGTGACAGTCATGCAGCCCTGCGTTCCTCCTGTAACGTGAGCCTTAAGCATAATCCTTTCTTGTGTTTACAAATTAAGCAGGTCAAAATATCTATTCCTGCAAGCCAGCTCACAAAGGTTAGTTGAATGTAGACCAGCAGGAGAATATCAATAATTAACCCTCTGCTCGTAGTTCATAGTCTCATCAAACACAGGCATGAAGTCTTCAGGAATATGAAGACTATTTCATCTAAACTTATCCTCAATTTCAACAGCAACAGTGCTCTCGTAATCACACCCAAGAAAGGAAAATCGAAGTTACAAGAAATGTTAGATGGGAAAAATGACAGTGTTACTAAAAACTGCTGCATACATTGATAATTTAATTATATTATTCATAACATTCAATTTCCAGGAAAGCATGGAAAGATGTTTGAAGAACTGATAAGGAAAAAAAAAAAAGATATATTCCACAAAATATATCAGGGAAAAAGAAGAATTTGCTGCAGTCTACTTCAGAGTCAAACAAGTAATTCTCCAGGCCTTCTCTGTCTGCCTTTTTTTTTTTTTTTTTTTTTAAAAAAAAGTAAGTATTACGGGAAAAATCCCCTCTATAAGACACGATTTGGCATTATCTGAAGACAGCATGAACTCCTCAGGCAGAGAAATCATTCTTAACCCCACCTTCAACTGGGCCTTGCCCATGCCATTGTATTCTGCTGCAAACCTGAAACACTACAAATGAGGCAATGCTGAAGCAATCTGTCCTACTCTATACTGACTGCAAAGTCAAGGTCAATACCGTGCAGTATAATGCAATTATTCATAACAGTATTGTAGCAGAGTAACATTATTAGTCAGGGAAAAGCCCACCGTAGCTGATCAATAACCAGAGCAGGTTAAACAACAACCAAACAACAGCCAGGAACTTTCCCCAGCCCGCAGAGAATATAATACTAGCAACTGTCACTAGAAGCTTTTAGATTGAACTGTTTGGAAAGCTAAAGAAATAGAAAAATATACCTATACTTTTTCGATCTTCCCTGTCATCTCTGTCTGGGAAACAAAACAAAACAAAAGTAATTTATCAGCAACTAGCTCACTAGCTTGAGATTCCTGTAGGTAGCTCAGTAACAAAAAAGTAAGAGTCACATTTGAAGCAGTGTTATTACACATACTCCCTGTATTTAAGGCACTGTTTAACTTGAAGTTATTATTACCTGTCCAGTCTTCCTAAATTCTAATGGATAAAGAGCAACCTCACAGTAAAACTTGGGAATAAAGCTGCACTATCCAAGCCTATAATTCAATTTACAGCCAATTTTCCAAAAGTGGTTAAAGTGCCTCATCTCACACTCAATCCAAAACACAAGCACTAGCTATTTAATAAGAAAGTTTTGTTCTAAACACTATCAATTCTCTGTAAGTCACTTTAAGAACATTGGTAAAAACATTAAAAACAGTTTCTCTACAATAAGCAGTCTATGTCATTGCAACTGTATAATAAAACTGTTTTCCAGCTCCTAACTTGGCCACCTACTAGGAGGTATATAAGTGAGAACATAAGACTTTCACTTCCTAGCCTTTTTATGCTTGTATTGGTATTACATGAACTCAAGAAGTCTTAATTTTCAGTTTACAATTCATCTTTCCTCAGGAAAAATAGTTAACTTGTAATTCTGAAGAAAGTATAAATGTAAAATTTGCCATGTCATTCTTGTGCTGAACTGCCTTGCTAATAATGCAAATGTTGTCTCCCGGACGCCAGGTACCACAACTTTCTTTGTGTCAGATCTATCAGTGTGGTTGTTTGCTGGTGCAGTTACACTTCTTGCACTTGAGTAGAGAAATTGCAGGTTTTAAAGCAAATTAAAAGCAAATTTTAAGCAGGACGGAAAGCTCCTTCACCCCACATTTTCTAGCATGGGCTAGTTCAAATAACATTTCTGAAAAGTTCTAGCTTCATTCAGAAGTTCGTTATTTAACAATCATAACCTGAGAACAAAATATTTTCTGTTATTGCTATTTGGAACATTCAAATCACTAAAATGAAGAATGGTTGGAATTTTAACAACCACATTTTAGAATATACTCACCCTGGATTGTAAAGCATAACTGCTGACAGGTTCTCACAAGATTTTGAAAGATCTGTCATAGACAAGCTGAAGGAAGACAGCAGCCCACTCTAACAACAGACCATAAAACAAATGTATTAGACAAACACTGATGTGCTTAAAATCTCTCACTTTGTTTCACCTGATGAAGTACAAATTAAAGCAAATAAAGCTTTAGAATTAGAAGCAAACTAAAAAAAAAGTATTCTACAACAACCAAGGTATATCTACACTAGCAAGAAAATTGTGAAAAGGTTTAAATTTACCAAACACTTATTTAATCTCACCTTTCTTTTCTCCCTTAGCTTAGCAGCTTCTTTGGGGTGGTTAAAGCGAAACATATTGGTTCTTCCAAGTAATATAACTGCACCTGATGAGAAAAACATGCACCATTCACTGATAATGTTCTGTACCTGAAAATGCCACGTAACTTTTCAGACACATAACAAGTAAGCAAAGGCTTCCATTAAGCAAGACAAAATGAAAATGCATTTTGACAATTCAAGTATATGATGATGCACAGTCACAGCTACATTAACTGGTATATATAGTTTACTCCTTCCTCTTCCTACTTAAAAAAACCACATGAACAAAGCCACAGACACAAAGGTCAATCATGCAATCACGTTCATGTAGTTCATTTAAAGAATAAATACAGGCAGAGGGAGCAGTGGAAGCAGCTGCCCCAATCTGCTCTATACACTCTTCAACAGGACTACTTTGGAAGCCACCAGTAGGTATCAGACACGACGGGAACGTCCACAAAGGTGATGTAAGAACAAACTTGTCTATCCCCTACTGATCACAGTCAGGTTCGAATTCATCTACACTGAAATCTCCAGATCTCTGTAATTTGTACTCTCACTTACCTTTTTCTTCTGTATGCGGAACAATACTGAAGTTTGTCATCACTCAAAATGGGATTATTAGACTTTTATACCCAACAGCTATTTTCTAAGGGAAGAACCTTGAATAATTCATATTGCTCAATGCACATCTATTCTTGTATTTAGTCAGTTAAGGTGCAGGTCACAAATAATGAGATTCTGGGCAATTCTTATCATGTTTTAAAGACAATGGCACCAAGATTAATACTTTCCTACTAAGAAGTATATTGTCAGCAATGTCTCACTACTGTCATAACGTAGAAGTCTTCCAAGTTAACCAACACACAATCAAGCATTTATCTGTTGGTCAGTACGCGGCATTTTTTAAAAAGAAAAAGGACTCCATTACAGCCACAGTATGAAAAAACTGCAGTTAGACTGTTACCGCAAAGAAATTCTTACCATGGGAGAATGACATGCTGTCCTTAAAAAGGAATGTTCCTCTTAAAATCAGGTTAATTAGGAATATCAACCCAAATAAGGTCACCCAGTCTCAGTAAACAAACGGCAAAAAGCACTATAGTCACAGCATCACTTCTTGCTGTCTACACAACACCTCAAATTTGGACCATATGAACATTTTACCTCAGTCTAATCTTAAAAAGAACTACCTTTCCTAAATCTGTACATAGATCCTAAATCTGTACATAGATCCTACCATATAGTCTTAAGAATAAAAAATATTGTAGTAAGTTACATTTACACAAAAAGGCCACATTAGCCAGAATTCACAAACGCTGGAAGTAATCTGTAGAAGGAAGTGTTAATTAATTGCTATGTCCCTTTTTTTTTTTTTTAAACTTCATGACAGTCTAAAACCTTAACACATTTTCAAATGAACAGTTATTAATGACGAACGGAAACATTTAAATATATCAGCAGTTAATCAGCATTACCTAAAGTGGATATTTAAGGAGGCTGGCATTTCATGCTGTGAGATGAAATGCTAACACAGCCAGGATACATGGATTGCACACGAGTCCCTGAACTAGTTATTTCATCAGTTTGGCCCACCTGATGTCATAGCTGCCACCTTTCTCGGACTCAGCCCGGTTACAGCCTACAGGTCAGCTTATGCAGCTGTTTTTCACAATTTAGTAACTCTAAGCAACCCTGTCCCCTTCTTTCAAGTTGCAAATTTCTTCAGACAGAAATCTGGGAGGAAAAAAAGTAACGTTTCCACGCTTCACAGTACAAAAATCAAGTTGTTACATAGGCCTGAAAGAGGGAAATGGTATCCAAACTCCTGCTTTCTTCTGAGGCACATCAGACCTTTACTGCCTTTGAAATGCAGTAGGATAAGGTAAAGATGAGTCATTGCAACTCAATTCTTATTGTTTACAGTGTTATTTGCCATTAATGTCAACGTTTCTATTGCCAACAATTTATCAATGGGATTTACTCAAACATGAGACAAAAGGGGCTGGGCTTTCTTTCCCCCCCCTCCTAGTATCTGTTACAGAAACAAATGCATATGCCTCTCGTTTTGCGTGCAGAAATAGACACTTTATAAAATCAACATCCCCGCTCCACACCAAAATTCCTTACTTTCTGAAAGCAGACTTTTGAAGCACTTGTTTGAGTTCAGAAAAGATGTGAGACTTTCCTTGTTCAACACTGCATCCTTCCTTAGTTAAAATAAGCTTACTCGGAAAGCTTCTTTCCGGGAACGTAAAGCAAGATTGCTTTTCAGCAGCTGAGCTCTGTCACAGCCTCACTCCTGAACAGATCTTCAGCTCATTGCTCAAGGGCAAGACATTCTGGGTGCTCCTTGAAGATAAAACATCCCAAACCTCTGCTGGAGCGCTCCCCAGCTCAGTTGTTAGCTAGTCCTTTCCAGGTCAACACAGTACACCTTTGTTCCCGGTTGTCCCAGCTGCTTTTTCATTTCCAGATTTTAAAGCTTTTGTATTAAAATTATAATTCTCTAAACTTCCTCCATAAGGGTTAGCCTCCCCCTTTTTGCCATTTCCTTACAGCTGCAGTGAACAGATACTCCAGCTGAATCTCCTGCCATACAAGAGGATTTGGCAACAGAACGTTTAGTAGGACTGGCCTGAGGCTCAGGGAGGGGAGTGGGGGGGGGTCTCTGACATTATTTTAGTCCTATAGAGACCAATATTCTTTTTCTCAATATTACATCAACCTAAGCAATCTGGCATAGAGTTCACTTTAAGTACAAACGTTGAATGAAATCAAAGGGTAACTATCAAATCATACTCAAGATTATGAAGTGGCTTAAATTAGTAAAGAATTCTCATCACCACATGGCAATTCTTTGACAGAACAAAAACTCCATGGCTCTCCTGATGGTTTTGGGCTGTCGTTGAGAAGACATGGAATTAAAATCAATTAAACAATAACTCTTTTACATACACAGATTTTTTCAGTGCTGTTGCCAGAAAGAAACAAAGATGCTGTATCAAAAATGACATTATGCTGGGTAATACCTTGGTTTAGCTGTGTGGCCTCTGCAATCTGAATACCGTTCACAGAACACTGCGCTCCATTCAGTGGTATCAGATTCACAGTACCGTTGAGATTTTCAAAGATGCAATGCTCACTTTCCAAATCGAGGCCATGAAGAACTAAACACAAAGAAATAAGGTAACATAATTAGTCTCTTAATAACTAATAGTATTAGCATGCTGATATTAAATTTATTAAGGACACATTGCACTACATATCTGAGACTCTCTCTTCTCTTTATTCTGGACAATGTTTTCTTTCTTCCTTCATCACATCCTGCATGCCTTAAACGTTGACCCTGTTTATTGTTTTATTATAGTGGGAAGTATGTTGGGTTGGGTTTGGGGGTTTTTTGGTGTAATGTTCTTTCCGCCTATGTTTTAGCACCTGATTAGCAAATGCTTCTTTCCTTCTGATAAAAAACAGAAAAGGAAACTTTACGTAGAGAGAGGTTTTTTGACCAATTTCACTGGGAAATAATGAAAGCTTCGTGACCTTAAAGCAACCACGCCTAAATCTAAAAAGACAGGATATAATATGCAATTATAGACTAGCAAAGTTGGTTGAAGTAAGGTTCTTATGTTCTATGACATTCAGGCCTTTTATCAATTAGTCATGCTAGTTTCTATTTCTTCTTCAACTAATGTATGATTATCTCCACCTGTACTGTTTAATAACACAAAGCAATACAAGTTCACTAGTTTCATGGAATTCACGTAGTAATTTTAATCCAGACTTCTTTTGACACACAAAACCAGACGACACTAAGTTATTTGACTCTCAGTCTCTCACCTGAGAATTAAAGGATGCAGTTCATTTAATGAAACTGCCTTCAAGCAACATATGTGACAGGGCAGTCCAGGTCTGGCAATTAGTTGCTTTGATAAGAAATGAGTAAGAAAATCAGCAGAAGCCTACCTACTTTTACCAACTTCCAGAATTTTCTTCAACTGAAATCTAAAGTCCAAAGACTGCTTTAGGTATAACAATATAACAGTACTGTCATTACACAAAGGATAACAGAATGACTGTGCAGTAATTGTGACAGGTGCTGTATGAAAAAGGATGGTATTTTTACAGGGTGCTATTTCAAGAGAAGCAAGAAATAAATTAGTAACAAGTATATGAATATGAATAAATTTTAAGCCCACAAGCTATTCTAGAAGTCATGCTCTTTGAAGCAAAACCCCCGTCATTCAGCTCTCAAATTTTCTAAAAATTAAAATACACAAGAACATACAGACAACTAACTGAAAAAGGCGAAAAAATTATGAAGTGTTGTTCACATATCAGGATTTAGAGGAAGGAAAAACAGCTGAAGAAAGAAGGTAAAAAAATGCCAAATTCCATACCAATATCTTGTTCTGTCATAGCATCTTCTCTCCCAACATATGTTTGGCCCTCCTAATTAAGAGAGAAACATGCATTATTTTCAGTTGAAATTTCCCTTCCTCCCCCACAAAGATATAATTTATCCTTCCACTTTCTCAGAGTAACCTGAACAAAATACATGTTTAAACATACATGAAGAAAAATCAGGTAGCATTTTTAGAATGCTTTCACAGTCATTATTATACAGTATTATCAGCAAATTCAAGTTTCAACTGTCCTGTGCAGTTTTGAGGCAATTAATCTAGATTTGGACTCCAAGTCAAGCTTTACAATGAGATAAATGACAAACCAATATACATGGGTAAGAATATTAAACACCTATCTCCAATTAACCAGTTGATCCTCAGGATAAACCTAAACAGTAAATTGTTAACAGATGTTTTAATTGAATCAGTTGCAACCTCTTAGGAGCTTTTCTTACTATAGTGGAGAAGTGTAATGAGCACATTTAGATAGCAAATTAATACTACAATTGATCTACTGGAAAAAAAAAATTCACAACGCATATAAAGGCTATGGAAACACAGATGTGTATTTACCTTCAAGTGGTACAAGATGATACCAGTACTGAGAAGATCATCATCAATGCCAATTAGATGAGGCAGTTCAGAATCTAACACAACACCTATCCCTTCTTTCCTCAGAGCCAAGGTTTGTTCCTGTAAAGGACAAAAGACTATTTATTAGGATATGCAAGAAATACTGCTCTTCCTTCTCTTTCTAAACCACATTTAATGTAACTTATGCTCTGTAATATCACCAAAAAAAAAACCACAGATTTTTTTTGTTGTTGTTGTTTGATTGGGGTTGTTTTTTGTTTTGGTTGTGGGGTTTCTGTTTCTTTGTTTGGGGTTGGTTGTTTTGTTTTGTTTTTTTTTACATTTGAAATGTGACTTTTGTATTTCCATTAAGCATTCCAAGCCTGCTGTTCAGGAATTCTGTGAAGGTGTTCTTTGAAAGAAACCAGACAACCAGCTGAATTATACCAGATAAAGAAGATCAATCAAGAGCCTAACAAAGCAATGCTGTCTAAAAGCAAGCTACGCACCACCTTGCATAATATTAAGGAGAATTTAAAACTCCTCAGAATTTAGTACAGCTAAGGAGATAGAAAACTGAAAACTCTCTGGCAATTCTTTAAAGAAACTGAACCTTGCACAATAAAACCCCCAGACATCTGAAAATTTGGAGAGCCTAAACACTTAAAACATCACCCAATGTATGGGAACCATTGACAACAGTAAATAAATGTAAGAAATATTTGCAGCACATAATTTCAATTCTTCAAAATTCCTTTGGGCCACATAGTACAGCCACCTGTACTGTAGGATGAAGCATCACTCAGCAGGACAAGTGGGAGATTTCAACCTTGGCCAAAACACCATGCGATGTAGTACTGATCAGACAGCCTATGCAATAAATAAGAAATTCATTATTGCTTTGAAATAAGTTTTAGCATTTATAAAGTTAATTTTTCAAGTTGAAACAAAATCCTATTGGCTTCTAGGCACAGAAGATAACAGCAACAGAGACTGTGAACGCGTACACATGCCACCTTTCAGAAAGAACACGTTTTTCTATGTGAAACAGCTAAGCCCTTACAAGCCAAAGACGACTGACAACTCAGGAAGGAGAGGCAATGTCGGCAAGTATCACTTCTGTGTATCATAAGGCACACACTTTTCTCCTGCTGCTAGTAAACTCAGAAAATAAGTTTCCTGACAGCAGCATGACTACTCCTTTTCCAAGTCATCAATATGCCTTCTCCAGAGCCAACCAAGACACTACACTGTTTGTAAGAAAAAACAACAGATAGATCGTTATATGTATTTTCCCCAAGTATGGCAACTTGCAAATCTGAAGGAAGAAAAACAGATGTAATATCTCATTTCCCTGCACAGTACAAAATGTTGTCAATATTGATACTGTAATTCTAAGTATGGATACACCTGGGTAAGATGAGATGATGAGACAACATACAAAAGACACTCCAAAACAAAACCAGGAAATCTCACTCTGGTCATGGATGAATTAAATTCCCCAGCATTCCGAAAGAAAGAAAGAAAGAAGCTGTGATTCGTGATGCCCTGCAGCTCTCTGACATTCAAACTGCACCCAGCTATTCCTTGATATTATAAAAGCATTACCTCATAAAACCAAAAAAACACAGCTTAAATCATTGCTCAAGTGAAAAAGTAATTTCAGTCAAAAATACCAATCATATATTCAATATTTATTGAGTGGCATCTACTGTTATACACAATTTATAATGTTCACATATGACGAGGCTGAAGACTTGAAACACTGAGGACTGGTGGCCGTTTACACGACTGCTGGCACCTTTGGCCCAACGAACTCATAAAATATTAAGAGCTGAACATTTTTTTCCCCAGCATAAGAAAGCATTTGCCAACATCTCTGACTGAGGAAAAAATAGACATTCCAGGAGACAAGGAAATTATCACTGGGTGAGAATAAGATCTCACAAACAACTAAAAATAAATAAAAAAAAAAATCTTAATTTTTCAGTCTTAATATTTAACACATCTTTACTATATTCAGAAATAAAACATGTATAATTGTGAATTAAAATAGATGTGCTGCTTATTTATTCAGATCTAAAATTAAAGAACACAAATTAATTGAGTTTCTAAATCCTTATTTTGTAAATGACTACCATTCACACACTGAATGCATGCTGTTGATGGAAGCATTATAATAAATGCAGCGGACAGAAGCTGCAATTCACTATAATACTTTTTTTTCCTTAACACTTGGTGTAAATTAGCTTTGATCTTCAGATACAATTTACCAAAAATCCTGAATCTTAAACAGGTATCTGGAGTAACTGCTAAACTTTAATCGTTCAGCTTAAAATCTAATTTCAGTTTCCAAAGCTTCTGCAAGGATGCCTCCAAACACTGAACCGTGCCCTTTTGCCCCAAACCGCAATCACAGAAACCTCATCAACAATAGGTCTTTATCACTCTGCTCTCCCATAGCAGACAGAGAAGAAAAAGGCCAGAAAGAAGTAGCCAAATTGCCCTTCTCTCATCCTCAACAGTATAGGAAGAATGTTTCTAAAGGAGGACAGATCTCTTTTGAAATAAATCAAAGGTCTGTAAGCTATTATAAGGCAGAGAAATTATTAGGTTTAATCTACTATTTGATTCATTTTCATTTGTGCAACACAATTTTAAGAAGCAGTGGAAACCATAAGTCAAATGACAAGAGCAGGAAAGGTCACTGTCCCTATTAAAAAAAAAATACTAATTCAGAAAATTTATGAAAACCTCAAGGTACAGTTTAAGAAAGCTGAATGTACCACATGCATCTTAGCTTGAATTATCCTTGAACAGGAAAGTGTACACATATTCCCTCAGTATTTAAAATGCATTCATAAACTGCAGAAAATAAAGCAAGCCAAGTATTATCCACAAAGGAGCACTCCAGCTAATATAAACGGCTACCGTGTGAGGAGAAAAAAAAAGATTTTCTTCTTTAGGAGCTGCTAGATCAAATGAACTCGTTTGAAGAGTAGAAATTCAGAAAATAATTCTGAGTCAGTACACAAGAAAACTCTTTCTTGAGTCAAAGTTAAAATAAGGAGACTATATTGTATATTTAAATGATGATCTTTTTGAATTCAGCTCTGATTCGGCAGTCAGAAGTATCCTGATACAGTAAATTCATTAACACTTCTGTGAGAGATACAAAAGCTATTGTGAAGTCTCATCCCTTCTGCCCTGATGTATTAAGTTGGCTGTATTAACTGATACGGCAGCATCTCCAAGCTCGCAGCTAAGATATGTTCTGGTAGTTTAAGAACAAAATCTTTGTGTAAAGTACTTATTTGAGCTGTAGAGCTAATCTTCATCGTATACAACTGCCCATGATAAAGAACACCTCTAGATACAGAGGATTTCTTTAAAGGTAACTCTTTAAATGTACACACAAAAATGGAACCACACAAGTTTACTTTTTTAGCCAACAGGATATTGAATTAAATTTAAAAAAGAAAATAAGCCCCAAAGACATTTCTAACATTCCTTGCCCAATCTACCAGGAGAGCAGAACATACACGGCTACCGGCCCAGCACATAATGAAGAGAACACGTAATTAGTACACTGCCCTTTCATTGAACAGAACCTCTTGGAGGAGTTTAATTTCTGTTACACTTTCCAATGCAAAAACTCAATTCTTTTATTCAAATATTAAACAGTTAGCTGCTGGCACACAGTCCTGAGAATATACTGTGCAGACGCTTTCAGTAAAACATGACAATTTACTCAGCCAGCATAATGTTCAGATGTCTACATTTAAATTATGCAAAAATCTGCATAATACCAAATTAAAGAAATTATGGGTAAAAATGTGCAACAGCAAAAGTCGTTGCATTAATATTTAACCAGACTATACTAGAGCAGATTCTTATGCTAACAGGTACTTTGGGTGCATTTGATTTCATTGAAAATATGCTATTATATCCTGAGTTCACAAAAATGTCTGAAGATACTCAGTGGCCCAGCACTAACATTAAGCCCTCTATAAAATATACAGATGTAAACTGTACACAAGGGAAGTTCTTAATTCTTAATTGGTTCTCCTCCAGTTATGTATTCCGTAGACTTTGCATTCTCTTCAAATCACTGGAAACAAATGTTTCATACCTACAGAAAAAAAAATTCTCTGTACTGCTCAGAATTCGAAGGCGCCTGAAAATGTTGATTTCCAAACCCAGCAGATGCATGGCACTAAAGAGGTTATGCAAACAGAGAGAAAAAGAAATATGGATGAAGCAGCTTCAGCTGGTCACTCCATAATCAAGGTAGGTGAAAACCCAGGACTTCATTCACTGAAGTCAGAAATTTACATATTCTCCATCCCAGAATGGCAAAAGATTAGGCAACTTTAAATTGCATTTCCTTGCAGAGATTTTGGACAAATCCAAGAAGCTGAGGGTTGTAGTACTGAATTACAACAAAAAAAAGCTATGCCTATACCAGGCAAACCCACTTCATACATGTGTGCTCTAAGAGGGCTACACTGCTTGTGTTTCGAGAGTTAATCCTTTCAAAAAAAGGGAAAACGAGGCATAACTGCAGGGCAGGGCCATGATCAACAGGGACAAAACTTGAGCAGGGGAATTCCCAAACAAGCAGTGCTCACTTGCCGTTTCTTATAGGAGGGAGTAGAAAAGAATATTATTTAG